TTTTTTTTTTTTTAGATTCTTTGAATAGAAAATTCAAAAGAACAACATTTATTCAAAATAAAATTCTTTTGGAACATTATGAATGAATAAAAGCGTTAATTTCTTACCCCACGATTTTGAATATGTATCATGGTTTTCACAAAATATTAAGAAAAAATGTTTCTTAAGCTGCAAAGCAGCATATTAGAATGATTTCTGAAGGATTTCTCAAGGACAGTGAAGACTGGAGTAATGATGCAGAAAATTCAGCTTTGGTATCTCAGGAATAAATTACTTCTTTTTTTTTTTACTGCATTTATGTGGTCATTGGTGAGAATGAGACTTCTTTTCAAAAACGTAAAAAAAATTTACATTTAAAAATGTACATTTTATATATTTATATATTTGTGTAGCACTTTTTTACAACACGTATTGTTCCAAAGAGCCCCATTGCGGAATCCACAGGCGACAATGACAACCCCTTAACATGGTTAGGTGGTTGAGGTAGAAACCTTGCGAGGACCCAAGGAAGTCTTGCTGGTTTAGCTTGTTAAAATGCCTGGTGGGGACACCAGCACACCAGCAATCAATGCTGGAAACCAGCATCCAAACCAAAACATAGACTATAGGGTATGTTCAGATAGAATGATGAGGGGAAAAAAAACACAAGATTATCTCAAAAACAACACTTTTTACACTGTGTGCGCTTTATTACTGAATTGAAGTTCTCGATAGTCATCAGCAGATCTTAGTAAAACAGCGAGCACACAGATAAAAAACATTGATCCAACGCTGAAGAGCTGTCGCACCATCTCTAATCCTGCCGTTGATCTTCTGCCAGTTCCACCAGGCAACCCAATCTTAGAGTCCCGCGAGGAAATCGTGAGTGAGGGGAATGAGACCGAGATAACCTGCACCGCCATGGGCAGCAAACCTGCTTCCACCATCAAATGGATGAAAGGAGACCAACCACTGCAAGGTCTGACTCCGATCCAAGGAAGATTGTTCAGATAAGTCTGCTGTGATTACTGATGTCTCTGATCTGCACACAACACACCACGGTCTAGATTCTGACTTTGTAATGACTTTTAATTAAGCCTTCAAAAGGTGTATCCAGTGAATTGACAAGAAGATCACAACACGCAGGTCTCTGAAAGAGGATTTTTGGTGCTTTCAGTCAAGCTTAAATAAGTAGCTTTGAATTAACTCCAACTGTTTACCTCCCACTCAGCAAATGCTGCCCACATATTAGTTCTCGCTGGTTAAGGCAGTGCGGGCTGGCATAAACGAGTGAATGTGCAGGCTGGTTAATGTGCTTATAAACAGCTTTTCTCCATTAGACAGCAGGGTGGGACTGTTGAATAACATTCAGATAGACTACCTGGGGAAACAGAGGCAAACATGGCAGATGATATGGCACATTTTAACAGAATCTAAGTTTAATGTGTCAACTGTTTATGGATTACAAACATCACAGCTTCATTAACTGCAGTGAAAACAGTCAAACAGTGGCCTAAGGCAAGAGATTTCGTCTGCTAAATGGATCAAATAATAGCTAGCACACAGTAAGGATCACGGAAAGCACACATTAAGGTAATAATGACTGGTTTGTAATTAAAGTGTTACTCTGAACCACACCAACTTTGTTGTCATTACACCATCGATTGTAAAGCTTTGGGTGATATTATTATTAAGTGTAAAGCAAAATTTTGACTCACCTAACAATAGAATTATTTTATTTACCAAATTTCATATACTTTATGTGAATGTTTTGCCATACATTTTATATTTAATGTTTAAATAACAGCATATCGTTCCACTTTGGTCTACTAATTTAAATAATCTCTTTATATTTTAGTTTAGTTTATATTATATTAGTTTAAATTTTTTGTTTATTTTGCTTTATTTTGATTTCAGTTTAAGTTTTAGTACTTCAGCATTTTTATTTCAGTTAGCTAGCAATGCAACATTTCTAAATTTATTTTACTTTTTTTTTTTTTTTTCCTTCTAATATTTACTTATTTCAGTTACTGAAGATGTTTTTTAATAGTTTTAGTTAAAAAAAAACAATAAGTTACACGAACATTATAATTGTCACAAGTGCCTACTGTGTTGGAGCGAGGAACGAGGAGAACGCAGGAGAATTACAATTAGCAGTAGGCTATTTAATAGTGATGTTACGTTCAACACGGAAGCTCTGAAGCTTATATAAAAAAAAAAAAAACACATTTCACATTGAAGCACTGTATTGGAGCTTGATTCATTTTGAGAAGCACGTGATCTATGACGTCCAATGCTTCATTCGCCTGAAAACCACGTGACTGCTTCAGTATCTGGTTCAAACAAAGCGAATCTCAGTGCTGTTTCCTTTACATTGTTACATTTTAATGTGTTAGCATTGTTTCTTTTATTATTTTTTTTAATCGAAATGTATATATTGAGCTCAAAATTAACCTTGGCCATGAAATAACAGTCTAAGGACTGAGGCAGACTTAAAATAAACAGATCATAGATTTAATTAATTAATTTGTTTTATTTATTTTACTTATTTTAGTGCCAGTACACCGACACAAATGAATGACTTTGACAATAAACATTATTTATATAAAATACGATAAAACAAAGAATCAGTTGTAGAACCAGATGTGAAACCAGCGGCTGTAATGGAACATAGCACTTTGTAAGTTGTTTATTATTTTTATGACCACTAGATGGCCGCAGAATAAACCGCTTTGAGTAATAAACCTTTTTCCGATACAATTGTGTTGAAAGCTTCGCTGGTTCAGAACGCTTCACTTCGCCATCACTAGTATTTAATAATCCACAGAAACACACACGTAGCACAGGGGATTGACGTTTAACACTGGGCGCTAGACACAGGAAAACACTGGGCTTAAGGGTCCCCTGAAATGCTTAGAAACATTTGTTACTCTGTGTTGACGTCATTTTAACTGAAACAGGAAGACAGGGCGTTGATGAGAAGCTGAAGTACGATGTGACGTCAAAAAAATCGTTGAGCCATTTTGGCAGAAGTGACGAACTGCAAGCTTTGAATGCGTATATCTTCTAAATGCGAATTTTGTCACTGTTTTGGAGCACACTGCCTTATAGATGACCTTAAGACTAACATATTGATACTAACACCCAAAAAACTTTAATTTTGATTTCATGGGGACTTTAAGTAACTGGAACTAAATGAGGATAATCAGGGAAACACAGGTGAATCAAATGAACACAATTAGACACGGGAGAAACTGGGTCACGGGGAGCACATGGGGAGCAAAACAAACACACTGACAGTCCATGGGCATGACAATAATGATCATAATTCTAATTAATAATTGAGTTTTTAAATATATATGTCTAAAATTACAGTACAGTATGATTAAACTGCAACAAGCAACACTGTAATGGGGAAATGATGGTTACCGTGATATATATGTGTATATATTTTTTTTACAATTATTCAATTACAAAATTAGTATGATCCTTATTGAAAGGTCTTTGTGCTTTAAAGTGTCTTTGGTGTACAGTAACTGATGTATTTTTTGTAACAGTGTCTTAGTATGCGCTGACAGAAGAGAAGGGAGATGAGCTATAGGTCAGTGCCGAGCTGTAATTATTTCCCACTTCATTAGGTCCAAGTAAACCGTCATACTTTGTGCTGCAATTAACTCAATGCCCTTGAGTCTAGAAATTATCTTAGGATGAGGGCTAACATGATGGGCAGTAACCCTACAGGCAGCTACTGACCTCTGAGCTGCTTCATATGAATTCATCATGGTCACATGTCCATTAAATCACAAAGAGCTAATAATGTTATATTAAATCAGTGCTTATAGCAGCAATGTTATTTTAGTATTATTTATATACTCTTATAGTAATTGACATTTTGAATTGGCTTTTATTTTTATATTTTTAGCTTTTATTTTAATTTGTCATTTTGTTATGTGCTTGATGTTAGTTTTTCTGTTTAGCTTTTTTATTTGTTTTAGTTTAGTCATTTAAGTACTTAAACTTATTTCAAGTGTAAAGTAATTTAACCTTATTGTTTTTTTTAGTTTGTTTAACAGTAATAACACTCTACAAACAGCTTTATATTTTTAGCTTTTATTTTAATTTGTCATTTTGTTATGTGCTTGATGTTAGTTTTTCTGTTTAGCTTTTTTATTTGTTTTAGTTTAGTCATTTAAGTACTTAAACTTATTTCAAGTGTAAAGTAATTTAACCTTTAAATTTTTTAGTTTGTTTAACAGTAATAACACTCTACAAACAGCTAAGCAGTTAGTTTAACTACATTTCTCAGTAGCAAGATGGTAGCGTCGCTCATTATCAGTATCAAAGCTATATTTTGAAGTAGCAAGGTAGCGCGGTTACATTTTCCCTATTAATATTTGAACAGTCAAATCATGTTTCAGACAGTTCGCTCACACACTGAATCATCTGAAGCAGTTTCACATTTATTAAAACAGTAAAATTAATATTTTAAAACACAAGAGGACAAAATGAGCACTGGATGAAGTGGAATATTTACCTACAATCAACTTAAGCCAAACCTGCAAATGCGTCCTATCGTTTGCCAGCGATTAAAATGCTCTTTATTAAGATCAACACCTGCAGCTTGTGAATGCCTTAGTAGTGCAGATAAAGACATTTTCCCACCAAAAGAGTACTGAAGCAGGTGCGGGATCATGATTAAACTCCAAAATAAAAGACATGAAAACATGAACATGAAACAAAACCCAAACCCCACATTACAGTGCACAAAAACACCAACAGTATCAGAAATTACCTTGACTTTTTGAAAGGACATTTTGAGATATTTAAATTTATAGTACTGTGTCATAAATAAGACTCGAATGAAATATCTTTTTCTGTCATAGAGCTTTTGTGCTGTTGTTTTCTACTAAACATCAAATTACAACAAGCATGAAGGTCACCCCTAAACATAACTGTCACTGAAGTGTAAGCAGATTGTTTGAAAACATACAAATGACATTGGTGGGTAATTTGTATGAATTCATACAAAGCGTGAAATAGTTATGAATTGCCATGAGATCTTGGGACTCAAACACCTTTTGAAAAAAGCAGCTTAAACTAGCCTGAACTGGTTTGATGGTTTGCTTGAAGACCAGTTTAAACCACCTAGGACCAGCACGAGTAACTGTTGTCTAGCTCATGTCATCTATAAATAAATAAATGTGGCAAACCCCAAATAAAAAGCATTTAATTTTCACACGGTGAACAAACTGTCATGCAACCCTGTGTTTTATGTCCTGTTGTGATTTTGGACGTCACACACAGAATGTGCCCTACGTACGCTGTATTAAGCATAAGTGCTCGGTGTGCACTCAAAAGACCTGTCTCCCACAATAAATGAATGTGAAATTTGTCTGGAGGTGACTGTATCATTCCTCGTGACACTCCTCCCTCTCTTGGTGGCACAGTGTTATTATGAGCAGGCCGGGATGGAGAGAGCTCGCTTGTTATGACTGACATGTCACTCTTGCGGCCGTTCCCAGGTGAGGCGACTATCGAGGAGTTATACGACAGGATGTTCACTGTCACCAGCCGGCTCAGGCTCACCGTCTCCAAGGAGGACGATGGAGTGGCCGTCATCTGCATCATTGACCACCCAGCCGTGAAGGACTTCCAGGCCCAGAAATACCTGGAAGTGCAGTGTGAGTCATCTTAAGATGAGGAGAAAACTTTCAGCTCTACAATAGCCTCGGTTTAATCTTCCCACCTGTCAATTTGACTGGCATTGTAATGAATGAAAGAACCATTTGTTACACAATTAGACTGTTTATGAGGAAATTAACAGGAATGAAGGCTAGGATTTGGCTTTACAGGAATAGTTCACCAAAAAATGAAATGATTGAAATTATTATGTTACATTTGTTTTTGTTTGTGGAACACAAAAGGAATTATTTTCCACAATTAGACCGTTTCTAAAGAAATTAACATGAGTGAATAGTCAATAGTCAGTAGTCAATTTAACACGGTTGAAAACGAGGCTGTGAGGGATAGACTTACACTCTTTACAATGGCACACACTGTATTAAGGTACTGTTGAAAGTTTTTTTCAGAAAGATATTCCGTCAGCTGAACAATCGGTATGTTGTTAAACAACAGTACAATCCATTGAACACACTGTATTTCAGTCCCTCACAGCCTCGTTTTCATTCCTGTCAAAAATTAAATGTCACTAGTCTGACTAAAGTCTATAGTTCACATTTTTAAGTATCTCCATGCAGCTGTTCTCCATAAATGACAGTTTATAGTGACCACACAGCTAAGCTCCAAAAATGAACAGCATTAAAGTGGTCTGTATAACTCATACACTCGTACAAAATATCATTTTGAGACATATGATAGCTTTATGTGAGGAACACACTGAAATTTGTTTTTATTGATCGATAATCCTCCCCTCCAGTGAGCTATAACCTGATAACTGAGTTCAGATCAGTGAACAAATCATTTTTCAGTGAGCCGATTCTTTTCAATGAACCATTTCTTTCAGACTGAACGATTTGTTCATGAGTCAGAGTTCAACTCTGTGACTTAGTGATCCGGTCGGTGTTTACAGCTCACTGGAGGGGATGATTATGTGAATAAGAGGTTAAATCTCTCCCAAAGATATTATGTGGATTCAGAAGATGTGGAATAAAGTGCATGAATCATATGGATTTTTCCAATGGTGCTTTTTTAATGCTTATGTGTCAGTGATCACTATAAATTAGAGAAGATCCATTTTTAGTTGTTCTACAGAAGAAATAGTCACATGGTTTTAGAGCAAAAGAAATCAAGTGAGTAAATAATGACGGAAATTCAATTTTGGGGTGAACTATTCCTTTTAAACCGGCCGAGGTCTAGGCATTTGCTTTAATTAAAACAGACCCTTTCATGTTATGCGTAAGCATGAAATGCTGTCCGCCAAATAATGCATTGATTAAGAGCGTTTGCCGCACTCTTTTTTGTTGCACGGGAAGTCCTGGAAAGGTTAACCTACCCTTTTGTAATCTTGGCAGAATATTAATTTATTCAGATAGCTTACTGCTCAGGGTGACCTTTGAGAAGAAAAGGCAGGAGGGATCAGCTCAACTGTAACAGCTTGACATTTTGACTAACACAGATAAAAGAGAAGAAGAAAAAACATTTTACAGTACTGTTAAATTGACTGTTTAAATTCATAGCAGTGTCAGAATTCCTCACACGCTTTTCGCAGTGTCATGTTCACACATTTGTAGGCTCACTGGGTTGACTTAATATGGTGTAACGTGAAAAGTGAAGCTCAGAAGAGCAGCTAAGATCTGCCGCCTTCGTTGTACAGGTCTTTGGATTATTAAGCATGAATACATAATACACATGAATGTATAAATGTGAATGCACAAATGATGTCCAAACCTGCCGGGGATGTTTTCTAATCAGACTGAGAGGCAGGTATATGGCCTTAGAATGATAATTAGATGGAATACAATAAGAGTTCCGAGCTGAATCCACGTCCTGCAGTGCAACTGGAAATGAGTGTGTTTGTGTCTTTGTTGTGTCCAATGCACAGATAAACCAGAAGTGCAGATTGTAGTGGAATTCCCAGAGGGTTTGACCAGAGAAGGGGAAAATCTTGAGCTGACATGCAAAGCTAAAGGAAAACCGCAGTGAGTCCAACGCTGGGCCCTCGGGGCACTTTATTCATTTCATATGAATTTGTTTGGTTGCTTTATCAGGCAGATAATACAGATGATAACAAGAATAACTTGGATATACAGACAGGTATGCAAATATGTACATGGTTTGATGTTGATATTTCACTTATTTTGTATTTGTTTTTTTTTTTGTGTTTCTGATAGACACAATTTATAAAATCTATAATTTCTTATAGATTTATTATAGTCTCTTATTAACAGACAGATGGATAAATAGGCAGTTTTTAAATAAACTCTTGTTTGTTACAGATAGACAGACACACACACACAATTTATAAAATATATTGTTTCTTACAGATTTCTTATACTTTCTTATAGACAGACAAATAGATGGACAGACAGCGACAGACAGATAGATTGAATCAAACATACAATTTATTGATTTAATCCAGTAATAAAAACTAGTACATATTTTATAATAGAAATCAGCTCATATGTGAACTAAAACCGGACTTTGCAGCTGGGCTTTGACAGCATCATGTGCGTTTGTTTGCACAGGTGCTGATTTTACAGCAGTGCTAAAGTTGTCCTGAATAAAGCACATTTTCTTCTCCTCTCTGCCTCTGTCTGAGCATTTTCACACTGAGCACTAAATGATTACTCTGATGTTTTACAGGCCTCATCAAATTAACTGGCTCAAAGTGGATGATGATTTCCCCTCCCACGCCGTGATTACTGGCACTGATCTCTTCATCGAAAACCTTAACAAGTCCTTCAACGGAACGTACCGCTGTGTGGCATCTAACTTAGTGGGAGAAGCCTATGATGATTACATCCTTTATGTATATGGTATGTAACTTGAACTTAATCTGCGTCTGTAAACAACAATCCATAAGAGCAGAGTTTCCCAGACGGTTAAATCTATGGTCTAGGACAAAATGACACTGTTAATAGTTAGTTTTCAGTATCAGTCTAAGTCTTGGCTTAATCTGTGTCTGGATAACCAGCCCTTGATGTCTACATGCAATTGGCTGTGTAATGTTGTGTTGTGACTAAACGGTTTCAAGTTCCTCATGCATTTGCTTTTCAAAGAAGCTTGATGTTTTGTTCAAGACAGAACTTATTAACCCTCTATTGCACGATGCTGCCTCTGGCTTTTCTTCATTTAATGCCAATAAAATGGGTAATAATGAAGGGATGATTTAGGATGAACTAATAAAAAGTTTTTGGTCACACAACATATTTTTCTGGCATAATGCACCATGTAGAAGACGTATATTTTTGCTTTGGAAAACTGCCTTCATTGGAGGATTTTTATTGATTTTTTTTTTTCATCCTTCAAAAATATGATTTATATTTCTTAGTGAGTAGGCTTTATTTTAAAACATTTTGAGCCACATAAATTATTTGTATGTTTTGAGGAATTGTTTAAATATGTTTTTTTGCCCCGAAGCAACTCTGTGCGACAGTGGCATATATATGAATGTAGTGGATATGGATTCACTATAATGCAGTTATTATTTTAGTTGTTTTAGTGTCAACCTTTTTAGCATTTAATTAATTTATTTATTTATTTTTAATGTAATAATAAGTTTATTAGCTTTGTTCTTTACTATTTCTAACATCTTTAGGACTGTGACATCTGTATAACAAAAGAAAAAGAAAAAAAAGAAAAGAATAAAAGTCTCTCAGAAATATTCACAAATATATAAATGAATAAAAATAATAATTTCTTTCAAGTGTTGCACAGCATACCTAAAAGGAAACTTCCATCATCCCGGATTATTTAAAAAAATTTGTGTTTGATTTTACTAATGAGATCCATTTTATGCAAGACAAGCGAATCAGAAATGTCTTTTTCAACATTGTTTTCATAAAGTAAGCAATAGAGGGTTAATTGTTTTATTGAATATGCTTCACCTGAGAGTTTTTCATAGTACTTGTCTTATTAACACAGGAAGTGCATTGTGTTGGGCACATGTTTATTCCTTAACAAGGGCTGACAGCTGGATTTTTCAAAGCTTAGGCAATAATTGCTATGACAGTGGCACTTGAAGCCTGGGATTTAACAAAGCTTTGCTTTGCTATAGAAGAATTGAAGTGTTGTTATTGTTTAAAGCAGGTTGTGTTCAGAACCGCTAACGGACTGCCAGCTGCAGCTATTACTGGCTGTCCTGTTGAGCTGAAGACATTAGCCTGAAGGGATGGAAGAGGGTGGCTCGTCATTGAGGCGTTCGGTGCCACAGTTATTAGCCTCTGATAATGCTGATATCAGAGGCAGGTGTTTGGGAATGATGTCATCAGCGTCCCATCTGCAAATGGGAGAGTTTGTGTGCATCTCATGCCTGGAAGCAGTTCCACTTCCAGGCTAGTTCAATATCTGTCACCTCTACCTGAGCGAGCACCACCTGCTGATTACTCTACTTCCTCTCATTTCACAGGCTCGAGGAATTTGGGTCTATTTGCAGAAAGTGGGTGTCTCAGAAAAGAGGAGATTTATTGCCGTCTGGCTTCGTATAAGTGGCAGTTTTTAGTTATAATCTCCTAAGCATTGTGTAATAAGTGAATGAGGACTTTGCAACCATAATTATTTTCAACCATAAAAAGCCTTATTATAATGGAAATTATATGCATTTGTAGTGTTACCCTGAGAGTTGCTTTTTCTCTTTAGTACTGCTCAAAATGCTCATGCTTTTCGGTAAATAAAATCGTTGTCTTCTGGTGCATTTCTAAATCAATTTACGCTGGCAATTGTCGAGCATGCCCAACCTCAGAGGACTGAAACAAGCAGAAAGACCTCTTGTAGCTTGATAATCCTGGGCACACTATACTTCTACAGCCTGTCAGAGTTAATTTTAATGCTGCTTCTCAAGGGATGGCAGCTTTGTTTTTGCTACAGAGCATTTCCATTTACTGCCAATTCAACCATTTAAAGCAGTGACTTGTGTTGAGCAAATGCTTATAGCTCCTCAGTCTTTTACTTCGTTTTGTCATTCGTTTTTTCATGAAGCGTTGAACAGGAAGATGTGGTCGTAGGAGACATTCATTTCGTAAAATCACAGAAAGCGTGTAGTGTAATACTAGTGAAACACTGGTCATGCCAAGACAATGGCAGCAGTGTAACGCTTTCTCCATTTACACCATTACTGCATTCATGGCCTTCACAAAGGGGACTGTTTTGATGTCGGATCAAATGTTTTTTTAGGCTAATGTGAATTTGCAAAGGGACAGATACATGTCACAACCTGATAAGCTTGTAGTGGAGATGCTGAGAGTGAAAACCCATCCTGTTACCGAAGCCTCTGGCACAGTACTCAGGTAATTTGCTCGAAGAAAAATGATTTATTTTTTTTGGAACTTGAAATTGGAACTTGAAACAACTATATATATATATATATATATATATTGGGGATGTCAACGATTAATCGATGATCGATTAATTGTCGATAAGAGATGCAATCGATTAAAGCTATCGATGGTCGATTAAGCTATTTAATTTTGGGCTGCGTGCGG